CAGTGTCAACCGAAAAGTTAAGGGCTGTCCCTAACAGCTCGCAATAACTAAACTGGCCTTTCGGATTTTAACCAGACTCACGCGGAGCAGAAGAGCGTTCACGGAAAAGAGGACCCGTTGGGCTCCACCACCTAACACACTTTTTAAAAACAAACAAGCAAACTTTCCTAGATTCGACTGGAATCTGCAAAGCGTCAGCGAATTTCTGAGCTGAGAGGCAGAAGCGGGTTAGTGGTGCTGGGCTTGGGTTTTAGTTTTCTTGTCCCTGTGCTCAACCAGCCTGAGCTTGCAAACAGAATAAAATTGAAGCTAATGGAGATATCAAACAGAGCCACAATTCCGAAGGCTCCTTTTCCGCCACGAGCACCCACCGTCCATCTGCAAGTGTAATCACAGAGACTTGCGGTGTCTTCATCACTGGAGGCTCCGAAAAGAGGGGAGAAATTTCTCCGTCGTTAAAAGGAACCCTCTATTATCACTATTATTATTTGTGTATAGCAACATAAGAATTCCCCCCCGCCTCTTAAAATTCCCCCACAATATTGAAACAGCATTTGTTGTCCGATTCATACAAACGCTTGAGGCCTTTCTGGAAAACCATTACCATTCAATGGCTAGAAAATTGCTCTCCTTCCTTTAAAAAAAAAAAAAAAAGCACAGCAGCAGCTACAACCGACAACAAAAACTTTCTCCTCATAATCCTCGCCCACCGAATGACAAAGAAATGATATTGACTTACCCCTGAACGGATGAAGTGTTTGATAAGGGGGGGACTTTTCTGAAGATTTCTTTTCGGCAGCTACACAGACAGCTGCAATTCATGGGCGACACTGATTGCCAGAAACGCTATGGATTGGCATGGGGTCTGCAGCTCACAGATCCTGATCAATACCCCTACACTCACACGCCAGATGGTTTGGGGAAGGACAAAAATAAAATAGTCCAAATCAACCCACCATTATGTCTTTTTGTATTGCTCTGATAAACCTAGTTGTAGCACAAATGTGTTCTCCCAACACAAAACCTTCCTCAGGATTTTTAACATTTGGGTAGAAATAAGCAGCCCCCCCCCCTTCCTGGGATTTGGGCTGTGGTTACTGTTGTTTGGTAGAAACAAAGCTGATGGGCCCCTTATCCAGTCTGGGTTTACTTGAGGTCTATGTATTTTTGTGTGTGTGTGAATAATTTATAGGGTCTCTGATTTTAATTGAATGCTCACCTTTCTCTCCCTCTCAGAGCCTAAAATAAATAAATAAATATATATATATATATATATATATATATATATATGTATTTATTGAATGTGAAAACGCATATGAAAAGCTCTGGTAAAAATTTCCAGTCTATCTCTACAATTACTAACTCAAGTTTTTTTTTTCTTTTATAATGCAACATTTGTTGTCAAAGCTGCATTTTATTTACAGACTTCTTTTGACTCATTTAAGTATCTGATTTTGAAGAAAATCAGACCTGCGGAAGTGGTATGCTAAGAAATGGATATCCTGATCCCGGTGTAATGGCTGGTGCAACTGTCCAGATTCTAATAGTCGTGAACTAGCACTCCTGCTACCACATTTCTGTACAGTCTAATTGTGAATCAAATGCTGAGGAGAAGGGGGACCGGAGTGTAGCTTCAATTTTTTTTTTTTTAAATTCTGAGTTACACAACTTCTGAAGGTTAGAGTTCACGTGTAAACAAGGGGCAGTTAGAAAGCAATTCTTCCTTTTATTTTCTCAGAGAAAGAAACATCAAAGATATTTTGAAACATATTTGAAAATCTTATTGATATTCTTAAAATTATCCTCAAGTAGAAAATATGTTTTTCTTTTTAGAAAGAAAAGGAAAGGGCATGCAAGACTAATTTAGCAAAAATCAGGATGCTGACTAAAAATGCACATTAATTTCCCTTTAAATGGGTTTTAGGTTGACATACAAAACCTCAAACCATCATTAAGAAAAACAACGTGAAAAATCTGCTTTAATCTAGCCCAATGAAATTATACACAAAGAAGCCAATACGATTTCATGATTTCCCTGAGATCGCCAATATTGATCGAGGGAAGGGGGAGGGAGGGTGGAAGAGAGGGAGGAGGGAGAGAGGGAGGGAGCAAGGCAGCAAGAATATGCAACTCACCTTTCAACTCTCCAGCACGTGACTGCTCCCAGGCACACCAAAATGCAATTCCCAGGAGCAGATTTATCTTGGTAGCCTGGTAAACGAGTTTATCATTTTGAAAAATTCTTTTAATGGCCATCTATATACTCGGGCTTCTGTATGGAGGCAGTGCCTACTCAGTGTCCCAGCCTGGGGTCACTGGCCACTCCTGGAGCCTGAAGCCAGGGCAGGGAAGGCTGTGTTCAGGCATTGGGGCATATCAGACTCTTTGCCCAGCCTTGCTGCTCTCCTGCCCTATTTCAGTCTGGGAGCACTCCTAGACCAACAGGAGGTTGCGCTTTTGTGAACTTTTGTCCAACTCCCTAAGTTTTTCAAACATTAACTGTTTCAAATTATCCCAAGTATCCAGCTGCCATATATAAGGTGGGGAGTGGAAAGAGAGACAGCAGGAGAGGGTGGAGGGGGTGAGGAAAGACAGAGAAACAAAAAACTCAGTTATTTTACCTGTCTGATTTGGTGACATTAAAAAATGTGACAGCTAGGAAAGCGTGTCTAGCGAAGTAGAGGAACGTCCACTTTCTTACCCAGGCTTTGATACAAAAAAAAAAAAAAAATAAAAGGCAGCTCCTTGAAAGAGTAATTGGCAAGGTATTCGCCAGAGCTCAATAAAGTTGATCTATGAATAACGTCACTGTACATTCATGTAACAGGATGGTGTGGGAGGGGGTGGGGGTTTTTTTTTGTTTGTTTGTGTGTTTGTTCTGTAGCTGGAAGGGAAAGCAGGGCAGCCGCAAAAGGTCATCAAGACTAAGAACTATTTTCCAAATGAACCAAACCTTTCTCTAGCACCAGGAAGGCACATACAGTATTCCAGGCTGTGTCCTTGTTTTCTTATCAAGTTTTCTCTAACAGCTGGAAGTGGTTGGAGGGGGCTGTCTTAAGGAGACCCCCTGCTCTTCTTTTGACAGCTGATCAAAAGAAAATAGGTCACGCTTCTCAAACTTATGTCCACCCTGTCCTTAATTACTGTCTCTTTAAACAAAGGCAACATCTGCGCAACCTCAGCCAGCTTGAATCTTCGGAGGCAAACAGAGCGCAACCTGCTTTGGAAGAATCTGTTACTTTTAAGGGTTTCAATGCCGGGCAGTTGCAGGTCTTCAGCCAACACCCCTCCACCCCCCACCCAGGCCTCAGAAATCTCCACCTCCTCCCTCCGCCCGCTCCCCTCGCGGCCCCCGACCCAGGGTTACGGAACAGAGGACGTTCTGGGGAGACGAAGGTGCACCTTTTTTTTTTTTTTTTTTTTTTTTAATGCTGCGTCCTAAAACTCGCCAGGGTTTTGGTCTTTCCAGAGACAAGTTTTGGATATTACAGATGTCGGCCAAGGGTCCGTGTCCTCTGCCCCCGGAGGCAACCTGGGGCGTTCCTTTCTCGGGGTGCGCGCGCGCGCGTGTGTGCGCGTGTGTGTGTGTGCGCGCGTGTGTGCGCGGTACAGGGAAAATCCGCGGGGGTCGTCCCGGACGGTCTCCGTACTCCCTGCTCCCAGGAGGAGAAGTTTGCACCCGATGGGCAACAATCGGTAACAATCTTGCGGGCACCCTCCCCCCTCCCACCCACCCTCCGCTTCTTTCCAAGTCCCCAACACGGGAGGATTTGGTCGCCTCGAAGCCGCAGCTCCTAGAGTTCTAGTTTTGTTTTGCAACCTCACAGGGCCCTGCTGCAGCCTCATAACTGGGAGATTTATGGGCTCGCCGGGTAATTAAATGATGTTATTGTGTTAAGTTTGCTTTGGACTACGGTGGCCCGCACCGCCGAGGGGCTGGCGTCGCGGGGCGCAGCTCGGAGGCGGCGCGGGGCTTGGGGTTCCTTCCGCCCGGGCAGACCGCGCACGCCTCGGTCTGGGGAATTTGCCCTGCATGCATTAGAAATACAGAAGCGCCTGCATTTGTAAAAGGGTCAACTACAGGCTCTGAGATAGAGACGCTTGGGAAGTGGCTCGCTAGGAGACTTGGGTTTGTTTTTTGTTTTGTTTTTTTTTTCTTTTTTTCTTTTTTCCAGCAGCACAGACTGGCTTGCTAGCCTCCAGAAAAAGAAAAAGAAAAAGAAAAAGAAAGCTGTGGGGTGAAGCAAAGGGAACTAAAGCAATGCCCTTTTCTACAGATCGCAGCTGCTCGAGAGGGACCGAGGGCGGCATCTTTAACATTTCTCCCCGGTGCTCGCACTCTCGCCTCTCTCTCCCCGCGACCCTCTCTTCTTCTTCTCCTCCCTCCCTCCCTCTCCTTGACGTTCGATTCTAGTGGCAGAGGAGGAGGAAAAAAAAAAAAAAAGGCACAGAGCCGTCAGCCAAACCTGAAACGGCCGGCCCCGCCCCCTCCGCGGCCATTGGCAGGCGCGCCCCGGAGGCCCGCCCCCCGGGGCAGCGGCGCGCTCGGAGTGGCCGCGCGCGACGCCCATCGGGCCCCGCCCCGCCCCGCGCCCGGGAGGCTAGGTTGGCTGCCCCGGCGAGCGGCAGAGCCCTTCTGGACAGCTCCCGCTCACCCAAACAGAAGACGTCGGCGCCGGAGCGGGCTCGGACATGGCGAGGCAGCGCGCCGGCCCGAGCGGCGGGGCCCGGTGATCCCCCCTCCCTCCCCGCCCCCCCCGCACGCACGCCCCGGCCGCCCCCTCCCCGCCCCCACCCCGCCCCGGGCGCGCCCGCACCCGCACCCGCGCCCGCGCCCGCAGCCCGCAGCCCGCAGCCCGCAGCCCGGGGCGCACGCCCGCGCGCACACTCCCGCACTCGCGCGCCCTCCCCGCTCCCGCGCCCCGGCCCCGCCACGCGCGCCTCGCCCGCCCGCCGGCCGCCCCCGCCGCCCCCGCCGCCCCCGGGCCCCGATGGACTGAATGAAGGCTGCCTACACCGCCTATCGATGCCTCACCAAAGACCTAGAAGGCTGCGCCATGAACCCGGAGCTGACAATGGAAAGTCTGGGCACTTTGCACGGGCCGGCCGGCGGCGGCAGCGGCGGGGGCGGGGGCGGGGGCGGCGGGGGCGGCGGCGGGGGCCCGGGCCCTGAGCAGGAGCTGCTGGCCAGCCCCAGCCCCCACCACGCGGCCCGCGGCGCCGCCGGCTCGCTGCGGGGCCCTCCGCCGCCGCCGCCGCCGCCCCCGCCCCCGCCGGCCGCACACCAGGAGCTGGGCACCGCGGCGGCGGCGGCGGCGGCGGCGGCGGCGTCGCGCTCGGCCATGGTCACCAGCATGGCCTCGATCCTGGACGGCGGCGACTACCGGCCCGAGCTCTCCATCCCGCTGCACCACGCCATGAGCATGTCCTGCGACTCGTCCCCGCCCGGCATGGGCATGAGCAACACCTACACCACGCTGACGCCGCTGCAGCCGCTGCCGCCCATCTCCACCGTGTCCGACAAGTTCCACCACCCGCACCCGCACCACCACCCGCACCACCACCACCACCACCACCACCAGCGCCTGTCGGGCAACGTCAGCGGCAGCTTCACCCTCATGCGCGACGAGCGCGGGCTCCCGGCCATGAACAACCTGTACGGCCCCTACAAGGAGATGCCCGGCATGAGCCAGAGCCTGTCCCCGCTGGCCGCCGCGCCGCTGGGCAACGGGCTGGGCGGCCTCCACAACGCGCAGCAGAGCCTGCCCAGCTACGGGCCGCCGGGCCACGACAAAATGCTCAGCCCCAACTTCGACGCGCACCACACTGCCATGCTGACCCGCGGGGAGCAGCACCTGTCCCGCGGCCTGGGCACCCCGCCCGCGGCCATGATGTCGCACCTCAACGGCCTGCACCACCCGGGCCACGCGCAGTCCCACGGGCCGGTGCTGGCGCCCAGCCGCGAGCGGCCGCCCTCGTCCTCGTCTGGCTCGCAGGTGGCCACATCGGGCCAGCTGGAGGAGATCAACACCAAAGAGGTGGCCCAGCGCATCACGGCCGAGCTGAAGCGCTACAGCATCCCGCAGGCGATCTTCGCGCAGAGGGTGCTGTGCCGGTCTCAGGGGACGCTCTCCGACCTGCTGCGGAACCCAAAACCGTGGAGTAAACTCAAATCTGGCAGGGAGACCTTTCGCAGGATGTGGAAGTGGCTTCAGGAGCCCGAGTTCCAGCGCATGTCCGCCTTACGCCTGGCAGGTAAGCCCAGGAGGGCCCCCCCCCCCGGAGCCCGGCTGCTGCGGGGAGGGCTCCGGGCCGCTGTGGCCCCAGGTCCGCGCGCCTCGCCTCCGCTCCTTCCTCCTCCCCGCTCGGCTCTTCCTATTTTCTCTCCACTTTATTTCTTCTTCTGTCATTTCCTCCTCCTCCTCCTCCTCCTCCTCCTCCTCCTCCTCCTCCTCCTCCCTTCTTCCTTGTCTGCTTTCTCTTTTTCTCCTGCATTTTCATATTTCTCTTCCTCCCTCTTGGACTCCAAGCTCTCATTGACCGACCCCCACCACCACCACCACATTTCATTCACCAGCCCCCCCTCCCCCCGTGTGCCCATGTTACCCCCTCTTTCTGACCTTCTCTACTTGTGGGACAAGGGACCCGGGGTGCGCAGTGTGCACTAGGAGCCTTCTCTTTACAGGACTCACAGAGGCCGGGGATTGGCCTTTTTCAAAGCCCTGTGCACTTGAACTCTTGCTTAGACAATACATTTCGGTTTTCCGGGCTGCCTGGTCCCCCCTCTATGGAGGCAGTTGCTCTTCAGAAAGGGAAAAAAAAAATTCTCCGTTCTTCTCCCACCACCGTATCAGGCAAACTTCTTTAGTTATTAGCAGGAGTCACAATCTCGACCGCGCGGGGAGCGGGTGGCCAGGACACAGCAGCGCTTCCCGGGCTCACCTCCGGCCTCGGCGTTGGCCTGGGGGAGTGTGGCACCGAGAGAGCCGGGCTCGGGCCAGTCCCCGCGTCACTGCCCACGGAGGGGAGCGTGGAAGGACGGAGGCCGGGACTATCACATTCACCTCCGGGAGAATGGAGGAGGAAAAACTAAGAACGGGAGAGCTCCCCAACACTCGCCGGCCGCCCTGGCCCGGCTCCCAGCTCTTGCTGGCATTTGCCGAGGCTTGGCTGAGCTCGGAGGGAGGCTAGGCGCTCTTTAGAAGAGGTGCTGAAAAAATTAAGATGCAGGTTAGTTAACGCATCTTGGCCGCGGGCTGCAGGCTCCGCCTTTGCATGAAGCGGACGCCGATTGTGCGCGCAGCGCGGCGGCGGGGAGGGCCGGCGGCCGGCGGGAGGGGACGGGTCGACGCGCTGGTTACATTGTTCTGGAGCGGGCTTGGCTCTTTGTGCCTCCTCTAGCGGCCGAGCCGCGAGGTACAGCCCTCTATTGTTCTAGGAGCACAGATACCTCCTGTGTGGGCGGCGGGAGCCGGAGAGAAAGACGCAGCGGTGGCTGCGACGGGCACACCGCCGTGCGCTTTTGTGCGCGCAGCCCCAGCTTGGTGCGCGGCGCGGCCGAGCTGCCGCCGGCCCCGAGGGGCAGGGTGGCCGGGCGCCCCACGCAGCACCCTGCTGCAAGTCCGGGTGGGCAGTTGCCCTCGGACCGGGGCCGTCTCTCCGGAGCCGCGGGGCCACCGAGGGCACCGTTCGTAGTGGCAGGGATTGACGTTGGTGCGGAAAGTGGGATGCGCCTTGTGTGCGGCCGGCACGGTTGGGAGCCCGCTGTGCGCAACGCGCTTCCGGAGCGGCGAGCTCGCGCTTCCTCCCCGGCTCCCTGGGGCTTTCCTCGCACCGCTGGGCCCGGCTGGTGGGGTGCGCTCTCCCGACGCCCGGCAGGGCTGGGGGCGTGTTCGCCCGGCCTTGGGGAGGGGGCGTTTCCACTCTGCCCGCCTCTGCCTATACCGGCTGTTGGGAGGATTCCGGTCTCCAGGCAGTAATCATCCCTCAGTGTTGATCTGAAAAGATACAGAAAACTGCCCCCCCAAAAAAAAAAGCTTCCCCAAATCTGTGGACTCTTTATACTTTTGCGCGTAGGTGTAGTCATCTATCTTTTTCCTTTAGCTCTAGTTTAATTGTCTCCTACAATTTCCTCTGATTTGCTCCTAGGAAAGATTAAGCAGTGAATAGAGGGCAGTGGTGAGAAATAAACTGGAGGCTACTGACACTTCTGAACAGTGGCGTACCCTCTTTGTATTAGGCGGGGGGGGGGGAACACCTCGAGTCCCTCTCAGGTGAGCTTGAGCACCCGCTGGCTTTCTGGGCACAAGGGACCAGAAAGAACTTGGCAGCTGCAGTGGAGGGTACAGTAAAGGCAGGATGACAGCTATTCTATTCCAGAGCATGTCAGAGCGCTGCCGCCCCCTCACGCCTGTCCTGCAAAGGACAAAGCAAAGAAAGAGAAAGAGAGAGAGAGAGAGAGAGAGAGAGGAAGAAAGAAAGAAAGAAAAGAAAAGAAAAGAAAAGAAAAGAAAAGAAAAAGCCTTGTGCCTATATGTGTCTGAAAGTGATATGCCAAGTATGCTTTACCAGTTAACCGACCTCAGCCCCAAGCATTGCTGGGACAAGGGCACATGTGGCATACATGGGGGTCCCCAGTCCTACCACGCACCCCAGGAAAGTCGGGGTAGGGGGGCACTCTTTAGGGACTGGCTTGGGGAAGCATGCAGGCTTTTCCAGGGAGGAGTTTGCTGAAGCCACCTCCACAGGAGACTGGAAGCCTCCTTCAGCGAGTGGGAAATTCCTGCTGAGGACCCCGCTTTGCTCAAGCATTCAAATGTGTGTCTGTTTTATTACCCCTCGATGAAAGGGGACAAGAGCTTTAGCCTTTTTATCTGGCCATTTTATCTGCAACTACAAGTGTGCTGAGTGGTTATTATTACGTAGGAGGCTTTTCAGTTTGGGGTCAGTAGATCAGTCTCTTCAGACACTGACGCAGAAGCCAGAACTGGTAAGTAGGTATTATGTGCTCAGGAGCACTAGGGGACAGGAGCAAATGGAGAAGAAAAGCAGAGGCCTTCCCTGCCAGGAGTATCGATCGGAATCCCCACGGGGACGCTGCTGACGGCCCACACGGTAGGGCTCCCGGGGAGAAGCCAGCCCTGTTGGCTCCATGGGGCGGCTGTACCTGACTGCCAGGCCCAAGCCTCGGAGAGCCCGCTGGGCACCTCTAGCTCACCCCCATCAGGCCTCTTTTTTCTCCCCTAGTCTCCTTTTAATTTCCCTTTCTCATTTTGGACCTCTCTGGATCTTGCCAGAGGCCCAACCAGACAGGGGTTGAGGGACCTCAGAATCCAGGTCTGATTTGGATCACTTCCTATAAGACCTCACCCTCAGGTGAAGTAGACCCCAGCACTACAGGAGCAGGTTTTTCCTCTGCGCTCCCACCTGCCTCCCGCAGGTCTCTCTCCCCCGTGGCAACTGCTTGGTGTACCCACAGCTCAGGGTGGCATTTCTAAGGGTAAGGGACAAGACACAGTAAACTCAAATCGCCCCAGCACTAGTTTTCAGAGAGGTGGACTCCAAGAGCACTATTTCGTTAGGAAAAGGTGGCCAGGGCAGCAGGTGGTTGTAGGTGTACCCAGTTGGGTCCAGTCCTGGTTCTGGAGGCATGCTCCTGCAGGGCAGTTTGTATACCCCGGCGAGAGGCAGCAAGGACAAACTCCCGCAGGTCTGAACACAAACACTCCCAGACTTTGAGCCCGTCTCTGAACCAAGCACAAACACGAAAAAAGGAGGGACTGAAAAAAAAACCCGGGTAAACCCTGGACAGGAGCGTCACGGAGGAAAATCAAGGCTTCCCTGGCAGGAGTGGTTTCCTCCAACGCACAGAAGACAGAGCAAAGCCTCTGACAATAACCTGCCAAGGTTTGCGCCTCCCAAGACCCGGGCTCCGGGGCGGCCTGCTTGGAACTTGCCACACATCCGGCGGCGGTAGATAGACACACGGCCCAGTTCAGACAGCAACTCCCAGCGGCCAGGCTGGAGGCACCTGAGGGGCTTTCACCCACCTACCAAGGTGTGGCCTGGGTCACAGGACGCCCGCAGCGGTAGAGCCTGGCCGGCACAGGGCGCAGCGGCTCCGGCCAGAGGCGCCACAGGCCTGCGTGTCCCCTTCGGTGCCAAGGAAAAGGCACCTTCTAAGCCGAGAGGCAGGGACCTCATTGTCGGAACCTCACACCCCACCGCACCCCTTCCGCTGGTCCGCCTCTGGCCCAGCTCGGCCCAAGTCTCCCGGCAGTGAGAGACCCAACGCATCCACGTCCGTGTCCAACACAAAATACTTTTGCCAGCTGGCCGGTCGGATTAATGATGGGAAAGCTCGTTACTGTCCTTGCTTGGTCAAGCCCCGGGTGCCTGGAGAACACCTTCCTAACACGCATTAGAGTGAGCGGCGCGGGCGGAGAGGACAGGGCGCTGGAGAGGGTGGTGAAGCCGAGCGCGAGAAGCAGCCTAGGCCGCCAGGCGCCCTGGACGCGGGTGGCTGTGCATTTATTTTTATTCCAGGCTTTCCACCGTGTGGTTATGTCACTTTCTCAAACAAATGTGTATATGGAGGGAGATCGATGCTGATAATGTTTAGAAGATTAAAAGAGCATTAATGCTGGCAACAATAACGTAAACGTGTGGACCCAGATCTCATTGATCTGGAACCTGATCCGGCGCGTTTCCAGTAAGCCCGACGGCGGGCTCTTCCCAGCAGAGCGCTCGCCAGCGCCCCCGCTCCCCAGCGCCCCTGCTCCCGGTGGGCCCCGGTGGGTGTCGGCCACGGCTTCTCCCCGGCGCGGCCCCTTCCCGAGGTTTTCTGGGTCGCAGAGCTGCTAGCCATCTCTGTAGCCCGAGCGCGCCATGCGGCCTGCGCTCCCGGCCTAGGGCTCTGCGGCTGGTGGAGTCCATGAAGGGGCTGCAGGGGACAGTGCTGGAGTCCTCGGGGCTCGTGTCTCTCCCTCCCTCCCTCTCTCTCCCTCTCTCCTCTGTCCTGGGGTACTGTCACTACCGGTCCGCATGACTCCCATCAAACTGGGCCCGGGGCAACTTCTTCCCTCCTCCTAAGCCATCCATGACGTTTGACCTACCTCTCGACTTGCGGGAACTGGAACGACCAAACCCAACTTGGAAATGTCTCTCAAGCTGCCCAGTAGCCGCGCAGCTTCTGGATCCTCAGATCCCCTCGCGGCTTTCCTGGGTCTTCATTAAAAGGAATCATTCACCCTAAA